CTCTACCCAGGGGACAGCTTGAGGCTCTGTCTCAAAAAAAAAAAAAAGAACCCTTTTTCTGAAGTCATCAGGTTGCCATTGCCCTACTCCTTCTTTGAGTCCCTTTTTCTCTCAGTAGGTTGTTTTTGCAGTTGATTTCCTTTTGGTCTAAAGATGGTTCTCACTTTTTTTGGGGATGAACCTAAGAAAAGTCAGAAAAGAAAGACAGCAGCTATGAAATGAATCCTTTGCCTGGCTTATTGGCCAATCTTGACGTCAGCAAAGCTGTGGACCTCTTAATATAGTTATGTACTTGCTCTGACTCTAAGAAATTTCTGTTGAGAACTACTCTTCTCAAAACTAATTTGGGGGCTCGGCGCCTGTGGTTCAAGTGGCTAGGGCACCAGCCACATACACCTAAAATGGCAGGTTCGAATCCAGCCCGGGCCTGCCAAAACAACGACGGCTGCAACCAAAAAATAGCCGGTCGATGTGGCAGGCACCTGTGGTTCTAGCTACTTGGGAGTCAGAGGCAGGAGACTCGCTTGAGCCTAGGAGTTGGAGGTTGCTGTGAGCTATGATGCCATAGCACTCTACCCAGGGGGACAGCTTGAGGCTCTGTCTCAAAAAAAAAAAAAAAAACTAATTTGGGCTGAGCCTGGTGGCTCATGCCTGTAATCCCAACACTTAGGGAGGCCTAAGTGGGAGGATCACTTGAGGCCAGGAGTTTAAAATGAGCCTGGGCAACATACTGAGACCAGCATCTTTAAAAAAATTTTTTTAAACTTTTTTTTTAAGCTGGACATGCTGTCACATGCTTGTAGTCTCAGCTACTTGGGATCACCTGAGCCCAGGATTCAAAGTTAGAGTGAACTATGATCCTGACACTGTGGTCCAGCCTGGGCAATAGACTGAGACCTTGTCTCTAAAAGATACTTTTTAAATAAAAAACCCCGAGGCTCGGTGTCTATCTCTCAGTAGCTAGGGTGCCAGCCACATACACAGGAGCTGGTGGGTTCAGACCCACCCTGGGCCTGCCAAACAACAATAACAACTACAACCAAAAACTAGCTGGGCATTCTGGCAAGTGCCTGTGGTCCCAGGTACTTGGGAGGCTGATGCAAGAGAATTGCTTAAGCCCAAGAGTTTGAGGTTGCTGTGAGCTGTGACTCCATGGCACTCTAACTCGAATATATAGATTATTTCATAATGGAATGATTTTTTTTATTTCTAGTTTTGTTTGGAATTTTAGTAGATGTTTATCCCTCTGTATCATTTTATAATTCAGTTCTGTCATGGAGTAGCCATGAACATTTATAACAAAGTTGGAAGAAAATAAAATGCATTAGGAATCAGAAAAGTGTCAATCTATTGCAGATATTTTTTCCAGAAATTCCATCTAGATAAGGCTTTAATGCAGTGTGATTGTATGTGCTAAGTTCAAATATATTTGGCTTTTATAAAATTCAGAATAATATAAAAATTAAGTATTAACCTATATTTATTTTAAAATGTGATGATAGTGCTCAAAAATCTTTAACATAGGCTTACGCAATTCTCTTGCCTCAGCCTCCCAAGTAGCTGGGACTACAGGCACCCACTGCAACGCCTGGCTGTTTTTTTGTTGCAGTTGTCATCGTTGTTTGGCAGGCCCAGGGTGGGCTTGAATCCGCCAGCTTTGGTGTATATGACCAGCACCCTACTCACTGAGCTCCAAGGCTGAGCCAACATTGGGCTCTCTTTTAGGGGCACACAGTGTTACGACTACTCAATAGAATCTCGTCTGCCATCTTATGCTTATAACTTTTAGTTTTACTCCACTGTTATAATGTTCTCACATCTTTGCATTTATCTAGATAAATTTATTAGGATATTTATTTTAGTACATTGCAAGATATTCTAAGAAAGATTAAGGTGAATAGTCACAGCAGAGTGTTGTCCTGATAGCATCTGCATACCTTTTATGATTTGCTGTTTGGTGATATCTTTGCAGCCTTTCATATGGAAAATTTGAAGTGCAGAGGCGAAACAGTAGCTAAGGAGATCAGTGAAGCCATGAAGGTAAGAGCTACATGCTAAAAAATTATAAAATGAACAAAATGTCTGGGTAGGTATTCGCTTTCAGCATTCATGTGTTAGTGAATCTGCTGTGACAGGAATTCTCAGCAGTCTTTTAAAAAGATCTTTCATGAACTTATTAAGCAGCAGTAAGATTCAAAATAACCATCATTTATCTGGTACCTATTTGCCGGTATTATCCCTGGCATCTTTAAAGGATGGTTATGTTTTGGGATTCTGAGTGTTAGCAGTTTATCAAACGATTTCATATGACAATACTAGCTAAAATTTTATTTTTTAATTTCTTTATTTTGTGAGACAAGATATGTCACTTGCCCTGGGTATAGTGCTGTGGCATCATAGCTCACAGCAGCCTCAACTCTTGGGCTTTAGCAATCCTCTTGCCTCAGCCTCCCAAGTAGCTGGGACTTCAGGCACCTGGCTAGTTTTTCTACTTTTTTTTTTTTTTTTGTAGAGAGAGGGTCTCAGTCTTGCTCAGGCTGGTCTCAAACTCCTGAGCTCAAGCAGTCCTCCCACCATGGCCTCCCAGACATGTGGGGATTATAGGTGTGAGCCATCATGCCCAACCAATGCCAGCTAAAATTAATTGAGCACTTAGTATGGACACCATCTAACTACTTAACATGTATTACCTCACTCCTTCTAACTCTGTGAGATAGGTACCATTATTTCCTTACTGTATAGATGAGGAAGCTGAAGCATAGAGAGAATAAGTACGTTGCTCAAGTAAGTAGCTGAGCCAGGATTTAAACCTTGGGATGTCTGGCTCCAGAATCTGTACTTTTTTTTTTGAGACAGGAGCCTCAAGCTGTCCTCCTGGGTAGAGTGCCATGGCATTTCAGCTCACAGCAACCTCCAACTCCTGGGCTCAAGCGAGTCTCCTGCCTCCGCCTCCCAAGTAGCTGGGACCACAGGCACCCGCCACAACAACCGGCTATTTTTTGGTTGCAGCCGTCATTGTTGTTTGGTGGGCCCGGGCTGGATTCGAACCTGCCACCTTGGGTGTACGTGGCTGGTGCCTTAGCCACTTGAGCCACAGGCGCCGAGCCCAGAATCTGTACTCTTAACCACTATCTTATACTATGTTTCCACCTTGGGAGTTTTAATATTATTATAGTTGAATTGTTTATAGTATTGACATTTACTTAACCCAAACTGGAAAACATTCAGATTTCTAGTATGTGAAAATTATTTTTAAACTTTCAGAATCTCCCCTGTGCTGATATTAATTTCCTATTAACATTCATTTGTGGTTTGGATTGATTCTGTGGTTTTCTGGTGCTTGTCCTTTTCTCTTGGCATGTTTTTGATCAGGAGTTGGAAACTATGCCAAACTAAAATTCAGCCCACACCTTACGTTTATAAGTAAAGTTTTACTGGAACACAGCCATTACATTCATTCATATTTATAACAGCAGAGTTGAGTTTTTGTGACAGAGATATGAGACCCCTCAGAGCCTAAAAATATTTATCCTCCGGCTCTTTACAGGAAAGATATGCTGATCCTTGCTCATGGTTATTAAAATTTCTAAAATATTCATTCTAAAAATATGGAATTTCAGGCATTAAATGCTTAGCTCTGAAATTTTCCTATTCTGCCAAAATTTTATTTTACTACCAGGCATTGTAGGAATAGAATATGGCTGTTAATAGCTTTTAATTAAAATTTGTCAGCTTAAATTAGTATTTTGAAGGTAAAATCAAATGCCTGTGACCCCAAAGTATTAGGTCCTAGAATAAGCTGTGACCTGAAGAATTAAAATTTAGGGTCTAGACTATTGTGTCCATATCCATGCATTTGTGTTTCAACCTGAGATTAATGTTGACCATTATTGTCTATTTGTTTTTTTTAAGTCCTTGCCTGCTTTAATTGAACAAGGAGATGGATTTTCTCAAGTTTTAAAGATGCAGCCTGTTATCCAGCTCCAGAGGATCCACCAAGAAGTCTTTTCCAGTTGTTATAGAAAACCAGATGATAAACTTGAGAGCTTTATAGCACAAATAGAAACCACACCAACAGAGACCGCTCCCAGGAAAACCTCTGACTTGGTATTGAAAAGGAAACAAACTCAAGACTGCCCTGAAAGAAAACGGTATCCATTGCGGCGAAAGAGAATTAATCTTGATACATAAGTTCTTTGTGTTTAATTTAGAAGTTGAGAATAGGCACTGTCAACATTTAGATGACAGCCTAATACCAGTACAAGACTTCCGTTCAACAAATAACTCTTTAGTGATTGACTTATGCAAATATAGTACCTTTGTGCTGGAGTATAATATAATATTGTATTTCCTTCCTCATCATTTCATCTATCAATGAAAAACATCTTTTTTTAAGTAGTGGCACAAAGCCCATCATAGGCATTAAAAATGCAAACTTTTACTGTCCTTAAACTCTTGGCTTCCTTGTAGCTTTTGTGGAATTTCATGAATAACATATCTTTTGGGCTTCCCTAGTATGTAATCTTTCTTTTTAAAAAAAAAAAAAACAAAGCACAGCTGTGTAATGATTCTTCATTTATATGCTAGAAAGCAATCATAATCAGTTCTGTACTACACTACATGCAGTATTTTTTTAGATACAGTTTGATTTATCAAATTAATGTGCTCTACCTGGGAGGCTGAGGCAAGAGAATCATTTAAGCCTAAGAGTTTGAAGTTGCTGTGAGTTGTGACACCACAGCACTCTACCAAGGGCGACATAGTGAGACTCTGTCTCAAAAAAAAAAAAAAAATGAATGTGCAGATGTCAAGACTGCACTTTTGACTTTGTTACCGTGCATTTAACTAATTTGGATTTGTGAGATTATCTATTTTTTGTTTCATTTTGTAAGACAAGAAGATATTATTTAGAATTACTCTTAGAAATAAAAATTGGCATATAGCCAAGGTTTTCTTTCCAGTTTTGTTTTCTGTAGACCTTTTGGAACTAATAGTTTCATCTTAGCATTTCTCATTTATTTCTTTATAGATCATTTCAGTACAAAATTTTTATCAGATTAACGCATTGGAAAATTGTCATGGTGGAACAGATGCAATCATACTATATACTCTTTTACATTTGATGATATTTATATATCAGGTTTATAATCAGTCGTTGGTAGGAGTCTGAGGAAGCTATATTGCCTTTATTGCTAACATTTCACAACAGTTTCTTATAGCTCCTGTTATGTCTCTTCCTCATATTATACAGTGTACATAGGGCCATCTAACTTACCACCTGTTTGCCTTTTTGATGACTATAATACTTCCATCTATTTTCCAAGGAATTTATTAATCATGAATTTAGTAATACATGAAAAATCTGTACTTTTGCTCATTATGTCTTAATCATAAAATCTAGATTTGACAGAAGGTCTGTCTCAGTGAAGAAAACGTAGAAAACTACTTTATTGTATTTTGTGCTTTTATGTTACAATTTGAGATCTGTATATTTGTATACAACAAACAATAATAAAATAATGTACAAAGACTGAAATCCTGACACTGTGTGTTGTTAAGAGTTGTCCTAGGCATTCTTGAGCTCACCTTTAGATAAAGAGATCAAAACCCTGTATTTCAGAACATGTTAGACTTCACTTTAAAACTATTTTGAGGCTGCACTAGATTGTTTCATTGCAGCTCAATTTACAATCACCAAGATGTAGATACAACCTAAGTGCCCATCAACCCATGAATGGATTAATAAACTGGTATATGTATACCGTGGAATACCATTCAGCCTTAAGTGATGAGGACTCTACATCTTTTGTATTAACCTGGATTGAGGTGAAACACATTCTTCTTAAGTAAAATACCACAAGAATGGAAAAGGAAGGTATTCAATGTACTCAGTGCTAATATGAAGCCTGTAAACAAACTAATACCCACCCACCTAGGAGAAAAACTCAATTAGAGTTGGGGGGAGGAGGGAGGAGAATCTGTGTGCTCCCACCTACTGGGCATAGTGTCAGGGTATACATATATGTACCTCCTGGGTGGGGGACACAACTGTAACAGGCACTTTACCTTAGAAATGCAAACATTGTAACCTAATCATCTGTACCCTCATTAATCTGAAATAAAGAATTTAAAAAGTTACAGAATATTGTTCTTGCAATGGTATAATTTTTTTAATAGTATTAAAATTCTGTATGTTTCACTTCAGAAGCCCCCAAACAAGAATTTTTAATTCTATTACATTATATAAGGTGATTACATTTTGATTATATGTAGTATAAGAAAATGCCCCTCCCCCTTTTAAAAGCTCTATATTGAGATACATGGAATTAATGACATGACCTCATGGATTTACTCTGAAATATTTCAGCAAAGAAAAAAAGAACAGGAATAGATTAAGTGAATGTGGCAAAAATCTTGATAATGTTGAATTGGTGAGATAGATGCAGTCTTTCTACTTTGTGTCTGAAATTTTCATAATTAAAAAAATTTTTTTTGTGGGCGGCGCCTGTGGCTCAGTGAGTAGGGCGCTGGCCCCATATACCAAGGGTTATGGGTTCGAACCTGGCCCCAGCCAAACTGCAACAAAAAATAGCCAGGCGTTGTGGCGGGCGCCTGTAGTCCCAGCTACTCAGGAGGCTGAGGCAAGAGAATCGCCTAAATCCAGGAGTTGGAGGTTGCTGTGAGCTGTGACCACACGGCATTCTACCGAAGGTGACAAAAGTGAGATTCCATCTCAAAAGAAAAAAAAATTTTTTTTGTTATATTTTAAAGTCCCCAGACAGCTGAGACTTGAAGTCCTCTTGAGAACCCAAAGTTTCTCTCCACAGTTACAGTAGAGTTTAAAAGAAATATCATGGGAAAAGGCAAATGTATTAGCATTCTTAATGAAGATAAGCATGACTGGTATCAGTAATAATATTGAATAAGTATACATCGTAAGAGGAGAGGTTGCATTTCTGCACAGGCCAAGAGGTAGTATACTAAGAGGATTAAAAGTGAGTATGTCGCTTTAGGGAATGTTGGAAAGGTTGAAGGAAAAAAATGGAAATCAAATCTCTATGGTAAAAACAAGGGTAGGTTTGATAGGGTCTTAAAATTCTCTTGGGAAAAAAGAAAACAAGAAGGTCAAATCTCGTATCAGGAGAGAAAACGCTGTCAGATAACTGTCTTCTGAAATTAGTGCAAGAAAATATGTGTCTTTCAAACTTTAGCGGTTGGAACTGTCTCAGCTTGGGCTGCTGTAACAAAATATCACAGACTAGTTGGCTTTGTTTATTTATAAACAGACATTTCTCATTAGTGACCTCTCTTTATAAGGACACTTATCCTAGCAGATTAGGACCTCTCCCCAACACACTCTCATGACTTCATTTAACTTTACCTCCTAAAGGGCCCATCTCCAAATATAGCTATACTAGGGGTTAGGGCTTAAATGTATGAATTCTGAGGGGACACAAACATTCAGTCCCATTACATTCTACTCCTGGCCCCACAAAGTCATGCCATTCTGCCATGCAAAATACATTTATTCCATCCTGATAGCCCCTAACTTAACTCATTTTAGCATTACCTATGCTGTCTAAAGTCAAAGTCTCATCTAAAAATACCCAAATTAGATATGAGTGAAACTCAGGGTGGGAGTTATTCTAAGGCAAATACCTCTCCAGCTGTGAAACCTGGCAAGGGTGGAGAACCTGCGGCCTTCTGATTTCAAGAATAGTACTTTTTTAACACCAAAGGAGACAAGAATATCTTCATCTTTCTCTGTCACACACACCCACCCTTTGCTTTTTTTTTTTTTTTTTAGAGTCTCACT